GTGTGGTGTGTGTGTGTGTGTGGTGTGTGTGTGTGTGTGTGTGTGGTGTGTGTGTGTGTGTGTGTGTGTGTGGTGTGTGTGTGTGTGTGTGTGTGTGTGTGTGTGTGTGTGTGTGTGTGTGTGTGTGTGTGTGTGTGTGTGTGTGTGTGTGTGTGTGTGGTGTGTGTGTGTGTGTGTGTGTGTGGTGTGTGTGTGTGTGTGTGGTGTGTGTGTGTGTGGTGTGTGTGTGTGTGTGTGTGGTGTGTGTGTGTGTGTGTGTGGTGTGTGTGTGTGTGGTGTGTGTGTGTGTGTGTGGTGTGTGTGTGTGTGGTGTGTGTGTGTGTGTGTGTGTGTGTGTGTGTGTGTGTGTGTGTGTGTGTGGTGTGTGTGTGTGTGGTGTGTGTGTGTGTGTGTGTGTGTGTGTGTGTGTGTGTGTGTGTGTGTGTGGTGTGTGTGTGTGTGTGGTGTGTGTGTGTGTGTGTGGTGTGTGTGTGTGTGTGGTGTGTGTGTGTGTGTGTGTGGTGTGTGTGTGTGTGTGTGTGTGGTGTGTGTGTGTGTGTGTGTGTGTGTGTGGTGTGTGTGTGTGTGTGTGTGTGTGTGTGTGTGTGTGTGTGTGTGTGGTGTGTGTGTGTGTGGTGTGTGTGTGTGTGTGTGTGTGTGTGGTGTGTGTGTGTGTGTGGTGTGTGTGTGTGTGTGGTGTGTGTGTGTGTGTGTGTGTGTGTGTGTGTGTGTGGTGTGTGTGTGTGTGTGTGTGTGTGTGGTGTGTGTGTGTGTGTGTGTGTGTGTGTGTGTGTACAGTTTCCTCCAGCTACAGCCACACCCACCACACCCTCATCCCATCCCCTTACTGGTCCACATTTCCCTAGTCATGATTCTTGTGATTGGAACATTCTGGTATTATATGGTATATAACACCATAATGATTCTGGTATTATATGGCACATTTCATCCAGCTAACCCCTCCCCCCTTCCTTTATGCTCCATTATATAGTCACCTCCAGAAGTGTATTCAACCAGCAACTCACTTTTTTTTTGTGTCTAAGCAGCTGACACTTAATATCTATGTTTACATGTGTTTGGCATTTTCAATATTCATACAATATATCTGTATCACTCTACTATATATTACCTACTTATTTATTCAAAGATATTTTGCAAATTAGGGTACTCCATCATCAGGGATGAGTTGCTTATTTTTCCTGTCCTGACATCGGACAGCGTATAGTATCTTATTGTCATATAACTCTATATTCTTGTATGTTCATGTACATCATAGTGCTGTAATATCATTATATATTGATGTATGATTCAAAGTGACTTTTTTGTAATTTTTCTGCTATTTACTCATATGGGAGTAACACCAGTAATTTTCAGCTTAGTATATATGACAATGAAATGTAGATTTTCTGTAGTTTAAACCAATGCCGACGGGTATGACATATACTTACGTGCTATGCCCAGTGTGAGTACTTGTTTGATTGTTTTTACACATAGATGGCTACACTTGTACTAAAACACCAATGAGCCCATTATGAGTACTGCCTGGCTCTGCCGTTTACCCTTTTCTTTGATTTACAAAATATTTTACGTTACCTTATTTTGCTGTTACTAATGTTAAAAAACATTATAATAATTATAATGTTTATAATAAAAATAACACCATCGATATTCATAGCAATAGTAAAAAATATGTTTTTCACACCAATTCATATCAGGTACGGTCACAAGGTCTACTAATTGACTCCTTTATGGCTAAGCACTAGTAGAGCCATCTATGGGTAGACATTTCACAAAAAATATAGAAAATAGGCACAGCATTTCCCCCCTTCTTTGTTCATTTTCCTTGGCAGCAATGGGTTAAAAACAAAATTCTGCCGTGACTAAACTAGGGGGCAGACACATTGCAGGGATATGAAAAGGATCCTTGTCATACTGATACTGTAAAACTGGTGAAAAAAAGAACAAAAATTCAAAGGATACACTAAATTTCACAGAAAAGCAAAACACATTTGCTGACAGTAATAAAACAATATTTTGAAGTTCATAAAAAATGATTGATTTCTCAATACTAATACCATCTATATAACTATTAATAATAAAAATAAAAATAACAAAATTGATAATGATAATATTGATACTGATGCTGATAATATTAACAATATCAATAACAATAATAATATCCATAATAATATCAACAATAAAAACAATAACAATAATAAATAATAATAATAATAATAATAATAATAATAATAATAATAATAACAATAATAATAATAATAATAACAAAAATAATAACAAATCAATAATAATAATAATAATGACAAAAATAATATTAATAATAATAATAACAAGAACAACAAGAACAATTAAATTATAAATAAATAATAATGTAAAAAATGAAAAAAAATAAAAAAATAAAAAATAATTAAAAAAATGATGACGATGATAATTAATAACCAAAACAATACTAATAATTGTTACTATTAAAATAGAGAACCACTCCAAGTTCCTTCGACCCACTCTTATATATTATTTACTCAATAAACGACATCATAAACTATCTCCTGGACGGATATCAACATCATTATCTTTATTCTTACATACACACTTTTTAAACATTCAGTCTTCCAATAGTGCACAAGTAAACACGCATAAGAGAAAATACTACCACATCTGTAATATACAAAATCAAAACACCAGTATCATGAATGCTTTTGACAATATACAGCAAGGATGATAACTAGCACAAAGGGAAAAGAAATTTGAAAAATTCTTGGATTCAAGCTGACGTCACATGCTTTTTATTTGTGAATGCGCGCGCAGCTGCAGTGAAAACAGTTCGTCGCTTGTCATTAGAATCACTGCATTGAGCACTGTATCAGAGGAGGAAATCTTTTGAATTTTTCTCTTCCTTTGAGAGACTGTTGCTACCTTTTCTCTTCTCTTCTTTGCTGATTCAAACCGCTTCATTTTCTCTTGCTCTCTTTTTGCAACTTTTTGCGTGTACACAAAAATGGAAGGGACATAGTCTGGATGACTTGGATCCTTCTTCATTGGCTTCCCTGAAAAAAATTACTCCCCTTTATTCCGTTCAGATGCCAAAAATAATGCCTCAGACGACAAAATTGGGGAGGGGGAGTTTGATAAGAATAATCACATGACGTTAAGAATCCAGGGCCTTGAAAACAATTTACCCTTGGCCTAAGGTAAGTTTTCATATGGTTATTGTTAGTTCTCCAAGGCTCAGAACCTTGGTAGTTGGAATACCTTTAAAAGTAAATTTTGATTTTTAGCATCAAAAGTTCGATTCTTAGCTGTAATGAAGTGGTTTCCACAAAGGTAAACGTTCCTGCCTTTAGGCCTCCATGGCGTGCCATCTTTGTGTTGGCGTTTGCATGCATTTATCCATTTTGTTTTCCTGTTTTCCATTTTATCATGGCTCGTGCAGCCATATGCAGCACAACTGAAAGGCATTTCGAAAAGCAAAACTTGCGGCTAATTCCAAACGAGGAAGAGTACAACAGCTTCAGTGAGGAATGTTTTCACTGCAGCTGTCGTTGTGTAGCAACTATGATCGCATGCGCCGCGCATCTCGAATCCGAGAATAAAAATATTAAACAATGTTCTGTGCATAAACCAGGCTAAGAATGTTTATTTATCCACAGAACATTACATATTACTCCTGCAACATTATACAACTTTACAGCTGAATGGAAATTCATCAAGGAAACAGTTATTTGTAAAATTATTGAAGTAAAAAAATAATAATAAATAAAAATAAAATATACTATATAAATGAACATTCTATATAGTTCTGTTAATGTTTTTGGGAAAAAAAAAGCAAAAACCACACAGAAAATGTGATTATTGACAACTAGCCCATTAAATACAGCTGGTATGACAAAAATGACAAGTCTACTGTGATTTTAGTTCATTAACTTCTACTGAGTGACTTAGGCCCAAGGAGTCAATAACTAGTCTTACCTATCTTGCACATCTGACCTTTTCCTTGATCCTTGAAAAGATTCTATTTCCATTATTTATTGCTAATAGTATTTTTATAACATTAATAATGTCAATAATAATAATAACAATAATAATAATAATAATAATAATAATAATAATACTGACATCAATTGCATTTGATAAAAAAAAATCCTAAAAAATTCAAGGAATATGGAAATCAGGTACTGTCAATCACTATGGCTTACTAGGTGATTCCTTGGTTGCCTCACACTAATGGAGTCATATATGTCCAACAAAATTCTCACACTCCTTCACTCTCACACTCACATAAAAAAAAAAAATAAATAAATAAATAAATCTACATCACAATTTTGTCATAAACATTCCTAACCTCTCTTTTCCTAGCCCAATAATATACACAACCAAATGACCCAAACTTTATGAGCGTTTAAAATATGGCCACAATAAATGTCCAATCTTACAATAACCAATTTTCGTCTAGATTTTTTTTGCTTTTTAATCAGATTTCAAATGATACATTTGCCATACACAAACTGATCGGAGAGCTTTGTCTACTTACGAAAGTTTTCTATCATCCATACCGCCTTCTGCCTCAATATACCCACAGATCAAATTCAAGTTTATTGGGCATTTCAGTTTCCAGTCGAATTCAATTCATACTACAAAAATGTGATATCTTATCTTATCTTAATATCTGATAAACTATCACAAACGAAAAGTGAGCTGCACCCAGTTATCAGAACAACCATCCCCATCAACAAGATAAGTCATCTCGTCACTTGGAGGCTAAAAATTTTGTTGAACGAAATCTATTAATCAAAGGTAACTTCCCCTTTGCAATTTTCTAAAATGCTCTTTAACTGGATTAGTATCACATAAAGAAATATTGTGGTAACTGCATTTTCTGCTTTGGCAAAGACCAAGAAACCTTTTCTATACTCAACAGAGTTTGAACCGATTCCTTGTTTGACAATACATCACCACAAATTTATCTGCTCTATCTTGCTAAAACATGCACAAAGAAGGTTTGCTGATTGTGGAACGTTTTTTTTCCCATAATCTAGTGTTGTTTTAATAACAAAAAAAAAAATCTTACATACCCTTATTCATCCCAACACCAACAAAGATAATAGCAGACCATTATCATCTGAAGTACATTATGGTAAAAAAAAAAAAAAATAAATAAATAAATCTACATCACAATTTTGTCATAAACATTCCTAACCTCTCTTTTCCTAGCCCAATAATATACACAACCAAATGACCCAAACTTTATGAGCGTTTAAAATATGGCCACAATAAATGTCCAATCTTACAATAACCAATTTTCGTCTAGATTTTTTTTGCTTTTTAATCAGATTTCAAATGATACATTTGCCATACACAAACTGATCGGAGAGCTTTGTCTACTTACGAAAGTTTTCTATCATCCATACCGCCTTCTGCCTCAATATACCCACAGATCAAATTCAAGTTTATTGGGCATTTCAGTTTCCAGTCGAATTCAATTCATACTACAAAAATGTGATATCTTATCTTATCTTAATATCTGATAAACTATCACAAACGAAAAGTGAGCTGCACCCAGTTATCAGAACAACCATCCCCATCAACAAGATAAGTCATCTCGTCACTTGGAGGCTAAAAATTTTGTTGAACGAAATCTATTAATCAAAGGTAACTTCCCCTTTGCAATTTTCTAAAATGCTCTTTAACTGGATTAGTATCACATAAAGAAATATTGTGGTAACTGCATTTTCTGCTTTGGCAAAGACCAAGAAACCTTTTCTATACTCAACAGAGTTTGAACCGATTCCTTGTTTGACAATACATCACCACAAATTTATCTGCTCTATCTTGCTAAAACATGCACAAAGAAGGTTTGCTGATTGTGGAACGTTTTTTTTCCCATAATCTAGTGTTGTTTTAATAACAAAAAAAAAAATCTTACATACCCTTATTCATCCCAACACCAACAAAGATAATAGCAGACCATTATCATCTGAAGTACATTATGGTAAAAAAAAAAAAAACAGTACTACAACAGCCTTATGAAAAATTGTATTGAGAATAATAGGGTTAATTCAACTGGGATCCAAAAGTCAAATATGTATATCCAGCTTTCCTAAAGTTTTGATAAAAAAAAAACTCTTTTTTCCATTTGATTATACATATTTCATAAAGATCACAACCCTATGAAACTTAAGAGCATAGCCAACTTTTTGCTTTTTGCTTATCTTGAAATTCATTATGTAAAATATAACTAACACACACCATAGCCTCAGTGCCTGTCGACAAAAAGGCCTGGAGGCTGCAGCACTTGCCTGACACTGCAGCATTATTGGGGTTGGACTTAAAAATGTAGGCCCTCTTCTCTGATCGGAGAGCTTTGTCTACTACGAAAGTTTTTCTATCATCCATACCGCCTTCTGCCTCAATATACCCACAGATCAAATTCAAGTTTATTGGGCATTTCAGTTTCCAGTCGAATTCAATTCATACTACAAAAATGTGATATCTTATCTTATCTTAATATCTGATAAACTATCACAAACGAAAAGTGAGCTGCACCCAGTTATCAGAACAACCATCCCCATCAACAAGATAAGTCATCTCGTCACTTGGAGGCTAAAAATTTTGTTGAACGAAATCTATTAATCAAAGGTAACTTCCCCTTTGCAATTTTCTAAAATGCTCTTTAACTGGATTAGTATCACATAAAGAAATATTGTGGTAACTGCATTTTCTGCTTTGGCAAAGACCAAGAAACCTTTTCTATACTCAACAGAGTTTGAACCGATTCCTTGTTTGACAATACATCACCACAAATTTATCTGCTCTATCTTGCTAAAACATGCACAAAGAAGGTTTGCTGATTGTGGAACGTTTTTTTTCCCATAATCTAGTGTTGTTTTAATAACAAAAAAAAAAATCTTACATACCCTTATTCATCCCAACACCAACAAAGATAATAGCAGACCATTATCATCTGAAGTACATTATGGTAAAAAAAAAAAAAACAGTACTACAACAGCCTTATGAAAAATTGTATTGAGAATAATAGGGTTAATTCAACTGGGATCCAAAAGTCAAATATGTATATCCAGCTTTCCTAAAGTTTTGATAAAAAAAAACTCTTTTTTCCATTTGATTATACATATTTCATAAAGATCACAACCCTATGAAACTTAAGAGCATAGCCAACTTTTTGCTTTTTGCTTATCTTGAAATTCATTATGTAAAATATAACTAACACACACCATAGCCTCAGTGCCTGTCGACAAAAAGGCCTGGAGGCTGCAGCACTTGCCTGACACTGCAGCATTATTGGGGTTGGACTTAAAAATGTAGGCCCTCTTCCTAACTCACATCTTTCATGTAGATATGGATAGAATATAAGCCAATATTACGGAGTAAAAAGTCTTCTTTTGGAAGATACTGCGTGATATGTTGTAGGTTTGGCTATGCAAACCTACAAAATTTACATTACAAACTAATAAACTTGTCAGGGAAAATGCTGCAGTTTCTACTACACAGTATATAAATTTACACAATGAATAAACATCTTGTCAGCACATGAATGCACTAATGTCACGGAGTACCACGGGCAAGATTTTTTTTCATTCATTTTAACAAAATAAGAGGAAATTAAACATTAATCACAACTGTTAACTGATATATCTCAAATCAATTTTCTATTACCATCTGCAGGCCTCTTTCTGTCTTGCATACACATTTAGAAAACTTCATTTAAAAGACTTCAGTTTCAGAATTTATCTAGAAGTTCACACGATGTGACATCATAGCATTGGCACACCACCCTTCAGCATAGGCCAATAAACCTCTACCACATAAATACACTCTGGCAAGATAAAGCTTGGACTGGTCCTCATTTGACAACAAATTGCCAAGGAAGTCTACAAGCTCTGTCTTGCCAAAAGATACATGGTGGCTGTTTATCAATCTGTGCCTGAGAGCATCCTCTGAATCACTTCAAGTACCCTTTCTAACATATAATTGCACCTCTATTCTTCACTTTAGCAGATCAATTAATACAATGACTGTATTTTATATCTTCACAGGGTAATACCACTTATTTTACTGTATCTTCAAGTCATCATATTCTTACCAATGTTTTTTTTTATTAATTAAAATTCAGCATATTGATATATTGTGCATTTAGGCCATCTTCGCATTGCATAAAACTATTGCAATGGTCATACTGATCATAAACACGTAAAAAAAAATACATATTCGGGTATCAAAAATAATTTTCAAGAGTATTTAGGTTAAACCAACTTCCGTTTATCAAAATCTCCAGGTCTTCATATTAAACAAAATAAACCTCGGAATTAAGGGAACAATCACAAAATCTTCACAAAGTATATTCTCGTAAAATAGAAGTCTAGCCCTCAGGGATTCATGTTCAAATGAGGAAGCAGTCAAGCTCTATTTCTGCAGAATATATACAGTCATGATTCCCTGGCCTTTGAACATTTCTGCAGCCCACAGCATTACACAATATGGTAGATAACTACTGGATCATAATAATCATATGTTCTAATATTAAATAACCTGTTACATATCAAACAGATAAATATATAGTAGGTAACACTATGTATACTAAATCATCTCTACTTTCAAATATCCATACAATTTTTAGTTTTGTTTACCGATCCATGAAGATTACTTCCAAGTGGTAAATACCCTATTTCCAGGCAGTGGCTATATCAGCAATTTCTCATCACTGGGGAACCATGTGTGAGGCACACACGATGGGCAACCCAAATGTAGCATAAGCCAAGAACACAATTGTTTCACATACGAGATGGAGGGCTACTGCCCGTTTTGGCCATCTCACTAGTTAACTGCCAGTCATTCCTGGATTAAGAGGACGGAATCTCACAAACCACCTATACGTCTTAAATGACTACCAAGATAAACAAATATGCAACGAATAAAGGGAAACCTAAGTACTAGCAATAAACTACTAAAATTATTAATAACAAAACACTAAAACAGAACTTCAATCAATACTCATTACCATCTCTTATCACCCTAAAATTAACCATGTAACTATATACAATCAAAATTTAATCCCAACTATAAATCACACAATTCTCCGACACAGTTTCCGTAAAGAGCTAACAACTTTAGCACTGTACTCCTGTAAACAGCTGCTAAAAAGTTACTATTCATTATCCAAGATACCATGATAGTTGTGAAAGAGCATGAACATATATTACGCAGGAAATTGTCTGAAACATTTATACATATCACTGACGAAGTAACGTTATCTGCCATTACGAAACTGATATCACATTTTTCTTTTTTTTTTCTTTTCTCAGTAAGTAACATTGGCACATCATCCAAATACCATAACTTTTCTAAATTAATGTAATGTGAATACTTGCATCCCCAACCAAACACTTAATCACCATAAATGATTCCCATACAAATCATAATGACAAGCACATTTGAAGACCTCTTTCAAAGCCAAAACATTCGCAAATTCGAACTCACACCTGAGTCACACACGAGTCAACCATACCTCTCCTACAGGTCATTACTACTAAACCATTTATAATAACCACTGAACCCATACTTATAATACAATCACTTAATATTCCTAAAAAGAGTAAATGAAATCCAG